TATAAAAATTTTTTCTTACCAAGTGAATCATTTTACTGAGGAATTGACACTGAGACTGCCCATATAGAAAATTTAGATTTGAAAATATTAAAAATTGATTTTTTTCTGGATACTGTGACAAAGCCCTTAAGATAGTTCACATGATTTTCAAGCTACTGAAGTTATGTTACACACTGTAAAAGTGATAGTCTCCATGAAGATATGGTTCCTTTTCAATCCTGAAAGATGTTGGGATGTTGATTTTTGATTACCAGAAAATTTAAGAGGAAATAAGCTCATCTTCAAGTCAGTTGAGAGACTGGTATTGATATACAACAGTCTCTTGTGGTAGGGCTTACTACTTTTTACATACCTGTATTGCAGTAGCAACTTGGTTTTTAAAAGGAAAACTTAAAAGGGTTGGTTGAGATTAACTTTTGGGTGGTAATAAAGGCTATAAAAACATTTATTAAATGGTTTACAACTTCTGTGAATTCTGTGTTCATGAAAAAAAGTCCAGTAAAGAATACGATTTTCAATAAACAATTTTAAAACATTTTACTAACTCTTGGTCTTTGGGCATCTAGATATGCAGAGTTTTCTGTTCTTAAATTAAGAAAGAGTTGAGGTATTCTTAAAGAATTGAGAAAACCGGGGCGCCTGGGTGGCTCAGTGGGTTAAGCCGCTGCCTTCGGCTCAGGTCATGATCCCAGGGTCCTGGGATCGAGTCCCGCATCGGGCTCGCTGCTCGGCAGGGAGCCTGCTTCCCTTCCTCTCTCTCTGCCTGCCTCCCTGCCTACTTGTGATCTCTCTCTGTCAAATAAATAAATAAAGTCTTTAAAAAAAATTAAAAAAAAAAAAGAATTGAGAAAACCTGGCTTCACAGCATTGAAAATAGAACAGATTGGCCTGTTTCTGGATTCTCTGAAAAAAGAAAAAAAAATAAATCCAGTCTTTAACATTTAGTAAAATTCTGAACTATTTAAAATTATGATCATTCTTAATGTATTTTAAAACAAAAAAAAAATATTAGATAATGTGACATACTGGAAAGAGAATAGGGATAAGCTGGCTTTCCCCCTTACTTGCTATGTGACTGTGGATAATTTATTTAACCCTGTCCTTCTGAAAAACAGTCTTACTACTACTTAATTATAGGGTCAGGAGAACTACACATGATTCTAACTGTAACTGTTTTTGATGTATTAGACTAATGGTTGGCAAACTTTTCCTATAAAGAGCAAGATATTAAATATTTTAGGCCTTAAAGGCCTATGGTCTCCGCAACCTTTCAACTTTTTGACATAAAAACAGCCATAGACAGTACATAAATGAGTGTGTCTGTGTTCTAACAAAACTTTATGGGTGAATTTTGAATTTCATACATTTTACACATGTCGTGAACTATTCTTCTGATTTTTTTTCAACTAGTTAAAAATTTTTAAAAATCGTTTAGCTGCTATTCCATACAAAAAGAGTGGCAGGCCAGATTTGGCCCATAGGCCATAGTTTGCCAACTGCAGTCTTAGATGTTTAATTACACACTACGAGGTGCAGGTGCTATAACAACGTCACAGGTGAAGGACACAGGTCCAGATTTTATGTGACTGACTTGCCGTCTTCCAGCCAGTGTTAGATCCATTAAAAATGGCTAGTGTGGAACCTCACACATGGTCCAGAGTCAACTAAAAAAATAGGCATTTTTGCAACACTTTTCATCTTTTTATTCCATATCATTATTGGGTTATGAAACCAATATAGTGCTAGTTCCACTGAAATAACTTTAGAGTTTTCTTATAAGCAGGTACTTTTTGACTGACTTTGTTTTAATGTTTGAAAAGATATCTTAGTTGAAACACAGATAGGGGGGAAAGATCACTATCTTCGTTATTTATAGCCTTTTTTCTCCTCAAAGTGCTTCAGACACTTTTTTCCATTCACTCTAAAATCCTCCCTGTGTGGGAGAATAATTAGCTTCCTAATTTTATGTTTGGGGAAACTGAAGTGATAGGCTTATGGATGATATGTGACTTTAACATTGTATCTTAGGGGACCATAATACTAACACCAGAACTAGAACTCATATTTATGACATCCCATCCTAACTTAAATGCTGCAGTGGAAATGGAGGAATACACAAAAATACAGTTCTGAGACTTTCTAACTTCATCATGATACAAATGACCTGGGACAACGGTCGTTTAAGAAGGGTTTTCAGAATAATTTCCTATCTTGTAACTAACATAGCTGGAGCAGTGCAAAGAACTGTATCAACCTAAATTATAAACAGAAAATGAAAATGCTTATTTTCTTCTTAAATATAAGAATTCGCTTACATTTGCTTCTTGCCTAAAATCAGCAGTATACTGGATTTTACTATTTTTTAGAGGAAAAAAGTTGCACTTATTTCAAATATAAAAGATGCCTAAATATGCTGAGGATGTTTGCCAATTGCAAAGCCTTATAAATATTTGTTTTCCTAATATTCTACTGAATGGGGGGTGGTTTTTAAAAAATCACTTTTGAAGATTTTTAGGGTAAGAAAAAAGCAATGACGATTCAGATGAGAACATAAACACCATTTTAAGCCTGGATTGACATTCCAAAGCAAGCTTGAACTTCTTGAGCTCTGTTTTATTGTTCCAGGTCAAAATGCATGTTCAGTATATGCTGTTCCCATTATCTTGTTTTGCTCAGCATTTTCTATAGGAAGAGAGCAAAATATTTTCTACACCTCCTTTACAATTAAAAAAAAATCCATGTTTCACACTTTAATAAATGCATAAATTCTCATGGTAAGGGATGAAGAGTCCCTCCTCTGTACTGGATAAGTCATTGGGGTTTATCGTTATTATATCTTAAAACCAGAAATAGAATTAAATACAGTACATCCACCAACATACACACACACACACACACACACACACACACACACACACACCATCCTCAGCATCCCTGTTTGTCTGACTTGAGTACTGTTATTGCATAATGTAATTTGTAATGACATACGTTCTTGAATAAATATTTAAGTACATGTATGGTTATAATGCTACTATCCATAGAGAGCTGGTATGTCTTCTCCACAGTGCAGTAACACATTTTCTACCCTAACAACCTTGCCATCCCCAAACCACTTTTAATTTATAGTTTATATTACGTGATACTAGTTTTATTGTTCATATCACCAGTCCTTTTATCTTTTTGTAAGCTTGTCCAGTGAATTTTAACACATTCTTTAGTTACTTGGATCAACTTCTTGTTTTCCCCTCAATGAAAAAATTGAAATGACCTGTAAACTTTTTTACTTTATGGCCAAGAACATTTTTTAAATGCAGAAACATAAACACATAAAAAAAAAAAGAATCCTGGCAACAACTATTTTATAAATATGTGACTGTATTTTTCTTTATGTCCAGAAACTTGTATTGAATAGGATTCGGGTATATTCCTCCCTAACCCACACAGTTCATAGATCTAACACCAGGTTTTTGTACCAAAATGGGCAAGATAATGAAGGCACAGGCTCACTTTGTATCAATAAAGGACATCAAACACAGTCATGAGGCACTAATGACATAGAAGCATAGTCAGTCACAAAAAGCAAGTGTTCAAAGTCCTCAATAACTTTTCTCCCTTTAACATTTGGCAAAATTCAGTCTAGATATTTTAATACCTCAGAAAGAAAAAATAAATAAGAGATGCTACATTAAAACATCAGATTACCTATAGTCTTTAGAAATACAAGAAAAGGAATAAAATGAAGGGAAGGGACCACAGATTTCCTATATTCTTGGATTATCCTTCCTTTCTGAGGGTCTCAGATGTCTGCACGCATCTGTAGAAATGCCAGCTGTACCTGAAGATTGAAGGGATTGTTGGTAGTTGGCTGACATGGTCCCTCAACACTATTAAGTTTCTATCACAAAAACACAATTAGCTTGATTTCTTCTAAATCCTTTGTTAAAAGCCTAAGTCAAATTTGGTTATTTGAAAGTGATCTAAAAAATTTAAAATTAAGGAAAAATACATCCTAAATTACCAGTAGAAACAGATTACATATTTCGACTTCAATAGCAAATAAATACACCTTAAAGCCAAGCAAATTTCTCTCCTGTAGGAGACTCTATATAGACTATGAAAAGTTACTGTTTCTCTACTGCTGACGACAACATCACTCCTAGAACATACCAGGAACGAGTTTCACAACTCGAAGAGACTTTTTTATGACATAATATGAAAGACGAGGGTTTAACTTAGGTCTGAGCAAGCAGAAGAGATCCACACTTTGCAACATCTCTATTACAAATATATGACAATTGAATAACAAAACACAGCCCAGCCTCTGTTTACATCAAAACCACTGTCTATATGATATAGAATTACTTGCCTTCTATGGGTCGATACCACCCATTGCCAAGACCAGAGCTGGCAGTCCATGGAGCGTGCCATTTCCTACAGGTAAGCCTAAGTCTATAACTGCAGAAATAACATGGAAATGTATCAGCTTATCCAAAGTAGTTAAATATATTTTTAAAATTTTTCCTAGGAAGTTAATTTTGATAATATTTCCCAAGTCCTTCAACTAAAGATATTTTGATAATTTGTGTTTTTTTACATCAGAATCACCAACATTTTTTTAACTGTTTCCAAGTATCAGTAACAAAGGAGTTGATACTGCTTATATTCACAACTAATTGTTAATATTTCAGTGAGTTACAATGAACTGTTTTGGCATGCTTGAAAAATTAATTGTAAAGAAAAAATAAGAATACTTATAGGAGGATCGCAATAATTTGGTGTTTTTGCATTAAAAACCTCTAATATTCATCTCTGACAACACAGTATGTATATTTATGCATATAAAGTTCATTTCCATGCTTATTACATAAAAATAACTATAGGAAATATCAGTCTCAGCTGATAGATATCCAATTAATTCACTGCAGAAGGGAAAATAAGAAAAAAATCTGAAGTTATCAGTAAAGCGCACAGTTCAAAAATTTTTTTTCCTTTTTTTTTTCTTTTTTTGCTTGTTTGAAATTTTTTGGTAGTTTTATCTGTGCTGTGTTGAACAGGTTGATTCCCAGACTAATGGCCTCCAAGTAGATTTGAAAGGAAGCCGGAAGACTTCTTATTTTGCTGTGATTCTGCTTCTTGGTCTTGTGAAAGTCCCAATTCACTCTCAATTTGATCAAGCTCTGACTGGTCAAGTAGTTCAAAGTCATCACCTTCTTCAGTGTCTGTGTCGTCGCCCAGGCTGGGGGCAGCCTGAGAAAGTGCTTGCTGTGCGCCCTCTAACTGCTCTTTGATGGCTGCTGTCACCGCGGCCGTAATGGCGTCCCCAGCCAGGTTGCGCATCAAGTGAAAGGTTTGGTCACTGCTCAAAGGAAGGGTGAGACCAGCTGCTGACTGCCTCTCTCTGCTCGCTCTGAGACCGCTGTCCACCTGCTCCTTTTTTCTCCTTTGCTCAGTGGGCAAGCCAAGGCTGAACTCGTCTTCATCATTTGTTCCCATGCCGTTTTCTACAGATGGAAAATCGGAAAGGTCTCGAGAGAAAACTTCTTCGCTCGGTCGGTCAAGATCTGTGGAATGTGTAACACAAGTGCATGCTTGAGCACCACGATGAATTTGAAACAAAAGAACTATCTAAACGATAACCTGATTTTATTTTATTTTTATTTTTTAAAAGATTTTATTTATTTATTTGACACAGCACAAGCACGGGGAGCACCAGAGAGAGAGGGAGAAGCAGGCTCCCCACTGAGCAGGGATCCTAGTGCGGGGATCACTTTACCGACTGAGTCACCCGCACGCCCCAACGATAATCTGATTTTAATCCAAACCCTCCAAGCAAACTTGACATTCATCTAGCCTCCTGGTTCAGCTTAAATCAACTTAACCACATGCCAGATCCTTTTCAAATCTGGGACACTATCACTCTACAAATACACAAATACCGCATGTACCCGCTACTTTAGTTTTCCTCTTAAGCACCAAAGACTTTCTGTAATGACTTAATATTCAACCTAACGTTAGCTTGAGGCTTGACTAAACTTTTTTTAAGTTTTTATTTAAATCCTAGCGAATTAACATACAGTGTATTAATTTCAGGTATATAATATAGTGAAAACAGTTTCATACAACACCGGTGCTCATCACAAGTGCTCTCCCTTTTTTTTTTTTTTTAAGATTTTATTTATTTATTTGACACAGAGAGAGAGATCACAAGTAGGCAGAGAGGCAGGCAGAGAGAGAGGGGGAAGCAGGCTCCCCACCGAGCAGAGAGTCCGATGTGGGGCTCGATCCCAGGACCCTGAGATCATGACCCGAGCCAAAGGCAGAGGTTTTAACCTACTGAGCCACCCAGGCTCCCCTCAAGGTCTCTCCTTAATCCCTATCACCTATTCTGACCCCAACCACCTCCCCTCCGATAACCATGGGTCTGTCCGCTATTTTAAAGAGTCTGTTTCTTGGTTTGCCTCTCTTTTCCCTTTGCTTGTCTTGTTTCTTAAATTCCATATAGGAATGAAATCATATGGTATTTTTCTTTCTCTGACTTATTTTGCTTAGCCTAATACTCTCTAGTTCCCTCCACATCACTGCAAATGATAAGATTTCATTCTTTTTATGGCTGACTAATATTCCATTGTAGAAGTGTACTGAAGTTTAAATGTTCAATATAAACAAAAGTTTCCTCCTCCCCAGGGAGGGTATTAACTTTGAGCCAATGTGGGTATGCATGATCACAGAGTTAAAAAAAATATTTCAGTTGGAGGTTTTCATGGATTGTGGTAAAACAAATGGTGAGTATTATCCTGCCTCAGCATTATTTATCCATGGAGATCTGTATGTCAGCATCGGTAACCTATGTTTGTTTAAAGCAGTGCACTAAAATAAAATATTGCTCCTTCTCCCCCATATTCAGCTTAAGAGCTTATGGAAACATTTGGCTTTCCATAAATATCGCTGAAAATGGCCATGTCCTGTTTACCAAATTTGTGTCCAGAATACATACAGGAACACTTTTATTTATTTATTTATTGTTTAAGATTTTATTTATTTATTTGACAGAAATCACAAGTAGGCAGAGAGGCAGGCGGGGGGCGTGGGGGGAAGCAGGCTCCCCACTGAGCAGAGAGCCCGATGCGAGGCTGAATCCCAGGACCCTGGAATCATGACCTGAGCTAAAGGCAGAGGCTTAACCCACTAAGCCATCCAGGCACCCCAGTACAGGAACACTTTTAGATTTGGGACATTTGAAAACAATGTCAGGTTAGCAGGCAGACAGTGATTTTATTGCTTCTCACTTTCCATAGAAAATTTTTCAGTGTAATAGTTAACTCTTTACAACAGTGACTTGAAGTCTTCAATTTAATTAAAGCCTTCTACGTGGATTGGATTATTGCCTCCTCTTTTATTGTGTGATGCTTAAGAACAAAGGGTTTGCTATCCTTATCTTGATGTTGGGCTTGAACAGCTTGAGTGTTTTTTTGAAGTTAGGCTCCAAGCCCAATGTGGGGCTTGAACTCACAACTCCATGATCAAGAGTCACATGCTCCACCAACAGAGCCACCACGTTGCCCCGTGAATGTTCTAATATGCTTTAAAGGTGAGGAAATTGAGGTCCACAGAAATCGTGTCACCTGTTCAAGGTCACACAGTTATCTAATGATGAAAGCAAGACTACACTTGAGTGTCCCACTATCCAAGCCTGTCTTTTTTCTTAACTTTTCTTTTCTTTTTTAAAGATTTATTTATTTATTTATTTGACAGAGAGATAGAAGGAGAGATCACAAGTAGGCAGAGAGGCAGGCAGAGAGAGGGGGGGAAGCAGGCTCTCCGCTGAGCAGAGAACCCGATGTGGGGCTCGATCCCAGGACCCTGAGATCTTGACCTGAGCTAAAGGCAGAGGCTTAACCCACTGAGCCACCAAGGCGCCCCCAAGCCTGTCTTTTTTCAAACATTGCATAGCCTCTCTCCTTCCTCTAGGAAATGAAAGTGTGTTCTTGCTTATAAAAACATAAAAACAATTCATAATCTTCCATTATAATCTCGTATTTTCAGTATATGGCTAAAATGACTTGAAATAATCCAATGAGACTAGCAAACGTTAAGTTACTGCGCAAGACAATCTATTTTAAATTATATGTATCCTAATTATGAAAAAAAAGGAAGTTTTTTTTTTTTTAAACTAACTTTGAAGAAAAACATGAGTGGAGTCAGCTTTAGACTTGGGGAGCTGGTCCTCCGCACTTCAGTCGTTTTTCATAAGGACTAGCTGTGGGCGTGTGGAATGAGCATCTCTCTACTGCTCCTTCCTTTGTTGCCAGAAGCAACGGATATTTGCCAGCAGACATTTCAGAAACTGTTTTCACTGTCAAGTGTTTGTTATTAAAACAAAGGCAGGGGCACCTGGGTGGCTCAGTGGGTTAAACCTCTGCCTTCGGCTCAAGTCATGATCTCAGGGTCCTGGGATCGAGCCCCACATCGGGCTCTCTGCTCGGTGGGGAGCCTGCTTCCCCCTCTCTCTCTGCCTGCCTCTCTGCCTACTTGTGATCTCTCTCTCTGTGTCAAATAAATAAATAAAATCTTTAAAAAAAAAAAAACAAAAAAACAAAGGCAGATTAGTATCTTGACGGGCTTAGATCTTTTTCTCATTCTTTTAAAAAAGTAATAGCTTTTGAGATAGGATTCATATACCATAAAATTTGCCCTTTTAAAGTGTACGATTCAGTGGTTTTTAGGATACTCACAAAGCTTTACAACCACCACCAATACCTAATTTCATCATTCCAAAAAACTCATACTAATGACCACTCACCACCATTCCTTTTCCCCCAGCCCCTAGCAGCCACTAATTTACTTTCGGTCCAAATGGATTTGCCTCTTCTGGGCGTTTCATATAAATGGCCTGATACAATGTGTGGACTTGTGTCTTTGGCTTCTTTCACTCAGCATAGTGTTGTCAAGGTTCATCCGAGTCATGGCACGTATCTTTTCCATGTACTCAGAATACATATATCAAAAGAAGAGTACGTAGAAGTGTGAGCATACCGTCGGAAGTGTCTGTCTGTGGAGTGTATCCTTCTGACAGGTTGAAGGTCCCATTGTCAGTCCAGGAGACCTCGGATACGTCTGTGTCAGACACAGACAACTCTTTGGCCGCAACCGTAAGGCTGATCTGTGTTAACATAACATAACACAGTGACACATTTGAAACTTCTGACAGAAATCTTTTTGAACACTCCATTCGAACCCCCAAAATATCAGGATAATAAAAACCAGATGAGTAATTCTCCTTTTGAAATTGTTCAGTCATCTTAAGAGAAATAAGAGGAGCCCACTAGGCAAATCATTCAGCCGCTGGGCATGTAAGTAAATTTACAGTCAAACCACATGGGAACAAATGGAAAAACCAAACAAAAAAATACCTTAGGACAAAGAGCTGAAAGGTCTAATTCACTGTCATCTTTGTGACTTTTTTCTTTATCTGCTTCTGTTGAGAGAAAATTTAGAGGCCTTCAGTGTCCTGGCCAGCTTAGACATAGTGTATTTTATCCATTCCACAGTGCTATCCTGACCCCACAATCCTCAGTCTCTAGTGCTTCCATTTAATTCAAAGTGTGCACACAACAAGCTTCACATATCTGCAAGTGTTTGATTTTCAAGGGAAATGGTCCAGATCAGTGATTCCCATAGGGATGACCCAGCAGCAGCAGTGCCAGTGATGGGAACTTTTTAGAAATGCAGATTCTCAGGCCTTACCCTATATCAGCTGAGTCAGAAACTCTGCAGTGGGGCCCAGGACTCTGTGCATTAATAATCCCTCCAGGAGACTCTGATGCTCACTATAGTTTGAGAACCCATAAGGTCATAGGCCAAGTTAAATAGTGAAAAGTGATCACTTTGGTTTTTCCTGTTTTCTTATCCTCCCCTTGGTTCTCTCAATCAGCTCTTATGTGGCTCCCACACTCTTAGCCATAGCATGGTTTTTTTATTTGCAATTGTCCACCCCAAAATAAAATAACTGAAACAAAGGAAATCCTAAATAGCAAATATAGAATTATTAAATCCTTTTCCCCTTCCCCTGACAATTTGGATTAAAAAGTCAATTTCTTATATGTTTGAGAAAAGCACAGATGCCTAATAGGCAAAGGCTACATTACTTTGAGGGCATTAGCTTCTGTAATAATATATAATAAAAGGCTAAAAGCACTTTGAGACATATTCAAAGTGATTTTGTAATAAACAGCCAGCTGATGTCTCATTCCACACGTGGAATCTAAAATTCAAACTTTACTTACCAGATCTCTTACGTTTCTTCTGATTAATATATTCTCCAATTCCAAAATCTAGCTTCAGCAGACCTGACTTGATTTTGCTGTATATTTTTTGTCCAATATCATTACACTTAAACAGGGGACACAAAAATGCACACAGCACTGAAACATAAGAAGGAAGAGCGTGTCGGTAAGATGACGGTCCTTTCAAAAGGCTACCTCTGAGTATCGCACAAAAATAGTTCATTCAGTAAGACAAATATAAGTGTTTTTCTTAGAGAATGCCTCTGTGAAATACATTCATAATTTCTATTCTTCCTCCTGTAATGAAAACATCTTCCCCTACAAACACACGCACGCACACGTGTGCACATATGTGCGGGCGCCAAGCTTATAGTCACTGTTTTTAGAGACTTGCTATTAAATCAACTTTCTCCCTTTCGTTCTTTCACCCTCAATGCTGAAAAAGATTACGTGCTTTCTTGACAACAGTCCTGGGTTAAAAGCTGCCTTTCTACTAATTTGTTGAATAAGCCATTTCGCTATAGGAAAGTTATTACGTATTATCCTCTCATCAGTAATACTGGGATGACAATATTATCTCTTGGGGTTTTGTGAAGAATAAATGGGGTGAGTGCCATCTGAATAATGCCTGGCCTATATCCTCAGAGCGTCCCCCGGCTCTCTTCTCCTTTGCTTCCTAAACAAGGCAGATCAAGGGCTGATACTCTCCGCGAGTTCCCGAGTTCTGTCTGGGAGAATGGGTTTGCGCTTTGATCATCGGCTCTGAGTGTAACACATTTGGAATACAGAAAAGAAACAAAGACTGACCTACTGAGTATATTGTATTCCCTAGTATTTACTTCTTTGTTGTGATTAGATGTACCCATTTACCTTTTAAATAGGAGTTGCAAGCTCAAATACGATTAGAAGCCAAGGAAGTATATGTACACTGTAAAAGCTGGTCTAAGAGAAATGGGGAAATATAAGGTCAGTTCAGTGGAGAGTGCCCGTCCCATCTCAAGGTGGCAGCACCAGACCATATTTTTCAGGAGAAGCTGGCAATGTATACTTTCTTTTTTTTTTTTTAAACACAGATTTTGGGGTTATAGTTAACATACAATAAACTGCACATATTTAAAGTATACAATTTGTTAGGTTCTGACATACGCGTACAACTACGAGACTATTACCACGATGAAGATAGGGAACATATCCATCCCCCCCCTAGATCTTCCCCATCTTCCTATTCATCCTTCTCTCTTCTCTTTCCCTGCCCCACCCACCTCATCCCTAGGAAACCATTTGTGTGCTTTGCTATGAGCTAAAGATGAATTTGAATGACGTATATATGGAATCATACAGTATATGTTCTTTTTTTTATCTGGCTTTTCCCACTCAATCTACTTATTTGGAGATTTATCCAGACTGTTGCATACATCAGTTTTTTCGTGCTGAGAAGTCACTGCATGGATATACCACAGTGTGTTGACCGGTACATCTATGGACGGACAGATGGACTGTGTTTTGTTTTTGGTTGCTACAAATAAACTGCTGTGGAGATTTGCATACAAGTCTTTGTGTAGATACATACTTTCATTTCCCTTGGGTAAATATCTAGCTGTGAAATAGCTGGCTCATGTATAGTTTTTAAGAAACTGCCAAATAGTTTATCCAAAGTGTTTTTACCATTCTACCTACCCACCAACAGTGTGTGAGAATTTCCGGTTGCTCTGTATGCTTGCTGATACTTGCTAGGGTATTTTTAATTTTAGCCATTCCGGTGGGGATGTAATGCTATCACATTGTGGTTTTAATTATGTTTTGAGCCACAGAACATACACAGGGGCAAAATGATTAGTGTGTTTGTGGGGGGCAGGAAATATAGCTTACTTATAGTTTTAATGACATAATTTAAAATCAAATCGTATCACTTCTAACCAACCCTGCCTTTTGGCAGCCATTCCTCCAACTTCAAAATATAAACATGTCTCTAGGAAAAGAAGAAACTTTGTACAGCAGGAAATTAAAGGATAATCAGTGTGCTTTATAGTTAAGGACTCATCCCTCCTCTTCCAAACTATGGAAGGGCTTGTTGATCATTAAATGATACCATATGCATCACATAAATTTGCCAAATGTTCTACCATACTCACGCAGTAGATAGCTGAGTATAACTCCAGGAATATAACTTCCCAAGACTGTAAAAAATGTGCACACACTGCAGACCAGGAGGCAAAACTAGAAATAATAGAAACAACATGTGACAGTTATACATAACTCCAAGAAATTTTCAGGCACGGGATACAGAGACAAGTATCTGTCTGTATGTGGTCTATCACATTATGGCAAATGTTTTTCAAACACTGTTCTTTTGTACTTGGGTCTGCCTGATGACTGCTATGTTCAGCCAGGCTTAGTCCACTTTAACACTTCATAATAATCATTTTGAGGTTCTAGAAGCTAATTTCTAGCACAGAGAACATCTCCCATAAATCATGCCTAGAGCTATATTCCTGCCAGATGCAAGAGAACTGAAGACTAATATGGCCCCAGAAACTTCTTTTACTGAGGATCCGTCACTGAAAAGAATGTAGCCTGGTTCATAAACCTGCAAGTTCAAACTACTTCTATAAACCCATCAAAATTCATAAACACAGCAAAGCAGAAATTAGAGGCTTTAAATAAACAGAACGGCAATTTGCACAGCTGATAAGCCGCTAGGATGACTCCATTGGCCATTATCATCCTCCTTTCTAACCATAGTGACCCTCACATTGACCCCACTTCTAGGTCACTTAGGAACCAATTGGGAATGAAATGAAATTTCTACAGTGAAATGTGTTTATTTTCCTTCTGTCAGTTATGCCCCCAAAAATCTTGGTTGTTTTAAGAAATTTAAACATAATGACAAAACACTCCCATAAAACCTTCACTTGTTTTCCACACCCTAGTCTTTAAGACAAACTATCTTTCTTCTTTTGATTTATCTTTAAATTATGGTATCGGCAAGCAAACAAAATTCATTAAGGGAATTTCAAAAAGACATATGAGGATAAGAACCCATAACTCTGATCAGTAACTGATTAACACTGTCAGATTAACCTTGATATTCCATTCTTTGGCACAGGGTTAATAAGTTAACTAGTCAAAAGGAGAACAGATGAACTTACGGAACAAAATTAAGAGCTGTTTCTGAAACAGCAGAGGCTCTTGAAGAATATGCAGTTTGAATAGCAAAATGGAAAAGGAAAGACCATAAGTGTTGAAAGATTAAGTGTGGGAAAGCATTACCATGCCCAGAACTCAGTTTCACAAAGATTTCGTTTATCCACTAAATTTGTAACAAAGAAGTTTAAAGTTCAGAATCTTCTAAAAATGTACTTAATCATTTCACTAAAATAGGCATCAAAAATGCAACTCTCCTTCCCCACCATATGGATAGCCATGCTAAGAACTACCTTAGGGGATTAAAAAAAAATCCACATATATAAAAGGTCGCCACTTTAATATGCTCAAAATGTGTCCGAGCACAGTTCTGTCATTCAGTACTACTGGAGGTAAGAGATTGCCTGTACGTGGTACAACCAGAGCGATTTTCAGTGTCGCCCTTCCTAGGCTCTTCCAAGTACAGGTGGAGGTTCAAGGAACTTGAGCACAACACTGGAAGGGGAAGGGTCTGGTGGCGGCTCTGCCTTTACCCCCATGTTCTCGCAATCACAGCCGAGGCCGCCTCTACCCATCCAAGTACTCCACGGGGTGCACCGTGCAATCCCTTCCAAACCACTCGCGATCCTTCTCCTCAGGGGTTTTCATCTTAACTGGAAAAATGCTCATTCCATTTTTATAAAGACAATGAGTGTCTTTGCCAAAGGTTTTCTTTACTAGATAAATCATGTAAGAATCTCTACTTTTTAGACTGACTCTCTTATCTCTGAAAACACCCTAGAAGGGCTGGATGTTCATCTCCCTTTGACTTCAGAACCAGCCTAAATAATAGAAACTGAAATTCTTTTTTTTTTTTATTGAGTTGTAATTGACATACAATGTTCTGAGTTTTCAGTGTCCAACACAGCGATTCAACATTTACATACATCATGGATAACGACGAGTCTAGTACTATCTGTCACCTACGTACTTAATATGGCATTACTAACCACATTCCCTATGCTGCACTTTACATCCCTATGACTTATTTGTTTAAACTGAAGTAGAGTTGACATGTAACACAGTATTAATTTCTGGTACACAACATGGTGGTGACTTTTATAACTGGAAGTCTGTACCTCTGAACACCTTTCACCTGTTCTGCCCATTGCCCTGCCCCTCTTCTCTCTGGGCACCACCAGTTTGTTCTCTGCATTTATGCGTCTGTTTTTAAACTGAGATTCTTCATAAGGTCATTTTTTCTCCTTGGTCTGGTTGATATCAAGACCAGTCACCGTTTTTGTAATGAGTTAGAGAAGTATGTATCAAATAGAAAACCAATCTGATCTTGAAATGCAAGTTTGAGGATTTTCTAGTGCTAACCAGACACTCACATTTTTTTTTAATTTTTTTTTTAAATTTATTTGATAGGCAGAGATCACAAGCAGGCAGAGAGGCAGTGTGGGGAAGCAGGCTCCCTGCTGAGCAGAGAGCCTGATGCGGGGCTCGATACCAGGACCCTGAGACCATGATCTGAGCCGGAGGCAGAGGCTTAACTCACTGAGCCACCCAGGCGCCCCGACACTCACATTTCTGAACCTCGCTAATATCAGCTTTTATGGCATGTGCTCCTTGTATGTTATATCCAGGGTTGGAGAACCCTTAGAGGCTGATAAAACAGGTTTTAATTCATCCATTTCCAATTTACTGCACATCATAAAACACATACAGTAATTCTCCTATGCTGGAAAACTTGCCTTGCCAGGGCTCTGCTGTTTAAAAAGAGACATTTCTTGAAGAAATATGCTGAAATTCATCCATGATTCTGCAATACAGTGGCTGAACCTGGGTCTTTCATCTGGTTTGGAATTGATAACTTCCCAGCTAAAGAGAGAAAAAGAAAACAAAAAATTTTAGCTGTACTTTTGATGATTCATTCAACGTTCATTTCTTCAGCAAGTGTTTACTGAGCACCTGCTCTTGGCCACACTCTCTGGAAAAGCCCTGTGGATTCAGAGGTGACCCAGGAAACAAACTGAGGGTTGCTGGGGAGTGGGAAGGGAGGTATGGGGTGGCTGGGTGAGGGATATTGGGGAGGGTATGTGCTATGGTGAGTGCTGTGAAGTGTGTAAGACTGATGAGTCACAGACCTGTACCCCTGAAGCAAATAATACATTATATGCTAATAAAAAGAAAAAAAAAGAGGGAGGGGGGAGAATTCAGAGGTGAATAAGCCAGACACCTTCCTAATGAAGTTCACGGGCCAAGAGAAGAGAGAGAAGCTAAACAGCTCGCCGCAAATTACAATGAAGGAAGAGTTGAGCGTGACATATAGGGAGGAGGTTTTGAGACATCTCTGAAGAAGTTACTTTTATGCCAAAATCTGGATGAGCGGAGTCTATCCCAAGGGCTTGGAAGAGTCCCAAGTAGAGCAGTGTACAACATATGCAGAGGGCCTGGAGCCAGAAGGAGCTGCCAGCACTATTCTCCAGAGCCCCACATGTGGCTCCAGCAGAGACAATGTCAGGCAGACGAGCGATGCTACATGAAGCTCAGAAGGTGGGACAGGACCTAATCACACCGGGCCAGGAGGGACTTGTTAGAAATGTTTGAAACCTTAAGGATAGGGAGACCACAGTGCTTTTTGAGAAACCTTGGCACTGACCTTCTAATCGTCGTCATCATCATCAATGACAATGCCCTCTTAATATATTTTATGGCCCATCAACTCAATAGGAAACTGTTAAACTCAATGGGGTCTCAAAATACCTTGTATTTTTCTACTGTACCTTCTCCCAACCATCGTCATGGAACGTGTTGAGTGTGATGCCTGCGTCATGCATGTGTGCTGTGTCCCTGCCCTCGTTTGCCCCCAGGAACCTCCATAAGCTAAAACCAGTAAGCCTCTCTCCAGGAAGAAGACATGCAAACACAGGGCATTCCCCTAAAATCACAGCGATCCTGAATTCAAATCCCACTCCTGCAGTACCAATTCACTACAAAAATGTATCAGTTCAAACAAGATCTGCCAAGGGCCCTTAAATTCATTCATTTAATAGATAATTGTTGTTTCCTACCATGTGGAAGGCACTGCCATAGAACTAAAGACATGGCAATAAATGAATGTTTCCAGTGGAAGACAAAGATCATCAGTGAACTATCATCCAAGCTACAGTTGCAAGGGAATCAGAGTAAGATGATCTCTGGATTCAAATCCAGTCCTGCTAAAACAAATCAAAGCTTCTTTGGCCCTTAGATGCTCAACTCCCCAGAGACTGTGTGTATGTGGATTCTATTTTTTTTTAAGGATTTAAATATAACAAAATTATATTAAAAAAGGAAATTTAATTATCTACAAATTTTCATTGATCTGAGAGACCGTGTGGGGGCAGTGGGGAAGGGCAAAGGGAAAGGGAGAGAGAGAATCCCAAGCAGACTCCATGCTGAGCATGGAGCCCGCCGTGGGACTTGACACGGGGCTCGATCCCATGACCCTGAGATCACAACCTGAGCCGAAACCAAGTCGGTTGCTTAACCGACTCCGCCGCCCAGGAGCCGCTATTTCTTTTTAATATACCTTGAACACTAAGATAATTTGTAGATTAGATAATTCAATTTCCTTTTTTAAAATATAATTTTAAGTTGTATTTAAATGAATGCAATAGCATTAAAAAAAGAAAAAAAAATTTCATTTTCCTTTGTCTTTATTCTGTCAGAGTCAAGTAAGGCTCTGCCAGAGAGTCTCTGAGCTACCAGTTCTCCAGGCTGATCCTGTTCTGGGAGGTAGACACTTGCCGAAAGATCTCCCATCCTTAAGAAATGAACTTTGGGGTTGTTTAGCTGTTGGGGAGTGGTTTATGTATCCATTAACTCTACCCCTCTCTTGAGTCACTGAGCCAGCCTGTTTTCATTGGTGACCAAATTTAGCATTAGCTTTGCATACTTTATGAACGATTCCAGACCTATTAAAGGAAACACTAAGCTCATGGATAGGAAGCCACTCTCTGTAACAAAATCTTGCCAATAGGTCCGCTTAATGGGAAAAGATTTTGTACAGGAGGGCAAAAACTGCAAGTGACAAAGGAAATAATAACATTATTAAACTGTGGCCTCCTTTTTAAAGATTTTATTTACCTAAGAGAGAGAGGGAGGGACGCCTGGGTGGCTCAGTTGGTTAAGCGGCTGCCTTCGGCTCAGGTCATGAGCCCAGCGTCCTGGGATCGAGTCCCGTATCGGGCTCCTTGCTCAGCAGGGAACCTGCTTCTCCCTCTGCCTGCCTCTCGGCCTACTTGTGATCTCTCTCTCTCTCTCTGACAAATAAATAAATAAAATCTTAAAAAAAAATTAAAAAAAAAAAAGAGAGAGAGGGAGAGAGAACTCAAGTGGGGGGGCAGAGGAGAGGGATAAGCAGGCTCCCCACTGAGCAGGGAGCCCCACATGGGGCTCGATCCCAGGACCCTAGGACCATGACCTGAGCCAAAGGCAGACACTTAACTGACTGAGCCACCCAGGCGCCCTGTGGCCTCCTTACTGAGAACCACTTATTGCAAACTGGCTAGGACAGGCCAGGCCACTGTTCCATTTACTGGCACCACACAGTTGACAGTAATACAGATTTTAATTTCTGCTTTCTGTGCATATTGAGTCGTATTTAAGATTTGGTTGGACAGTCTGGCAAACACAGTTCTGGCAAAAGTCAATGAAAAACTTATTATGGAGTTGTCGATCATTCTTTTCACAATTTAAGTGGAATAAATGAACGTTTCATATTTTGAAACAAACTTAAGAATATTTTCATCAGGATAATGAACAGATAAAGTGAACTGTGTTCAGGCAATGAAGGATGAAATAACGGTGGAAATGAATGAACTCCGTGTTTGTATGTGAATCTCAGAATCATAATATTGAGGGAGAATAAAGGTCACAGACTACATATACTATGATTTCCTTTTTATAAAGCTCAGAGTCATGCTAAGCCAACAGATTATTTAAGCAAGGAAATGATTTAAAACAACAACAATAACAACCCAGGATTCAGGCAAAGGGTTACCCTAAGGCAGGGATGGCGTGGGGGTATGTAGGGAACGAGACCATGAGGCATGCCATAGTGAGGCTTCTCGAGTATTGGTCATGTTATATTTCTTAACTTAGATGATGGATACATGCAAATTGATTTATTACTGTTCTTAAAGATACACACACACACACACACGGCCTTTATTTAAAAATTTGCTGAGGGGCACCTGAGTGGCTCAGCATCTGCCTTTGGCTCAGGTCATGATCCTGGGGCCCTGGGATCGAGACCCGCATGAGGCTCCCTGCTCAGCGGTGAGCCTGTTTCTCCCTCTTTGTCTGCCCCTCCCCCTGCTCATTCTCTCTCCTGCTGTCTCTCTCGAATAAATCTTTTTAAAAAATTAAAAAATAAAAATTTCTTTATACTTAAATGTATAATCATGCTTTTTATTTAATAACATTCTCACATGAGTATATCTCAGTTCACATTCTATACACACATGTTACTTAAGTTTTTGCCTCAGTTTACTTGTGAAGCAAACAATATTTCTGCTAGCTAAAGCTATGAAACATAGTTTCTGAGTAAGCCATACTTTATAGATGCTGAAACCTTGTTATTTTTTTTTTAAAGATTTTATTTATTTATTTGACAGACAGAGATCACAAGTAGGTAGAGAGACAGGCAGAGAGAGAGGAGGAAGCAGGCTCCCCGCTGAGCAGAGAGCCCAATGCGGGGCTTGATCCCAGGACCCTGGGATCATGACCTGAGCCGAAGGCAGAGGCTTTAACTCACTGAGCCACCCAGGTGCCCCTGAAACCTTGTTCTAATACCACCTTTAGGATCCCTAAATCTCAGATGTGACACATTTGTATACATATTTACTATTCTAGTGAGTAAAGACCCTAAAATCAGAAAGGAGCCTAGTCTAATACTAAATTATCTAAAATTACCTAAGTTATCTCTATAGAGATAATGTCATGGTGAAGTCTTCACGATTTAAGGTGCTTAATACATATCACAATGATTTAACTAAAAATTTTGTTTTACATTTAAGGATCTTACCTATTTCATAGTGGGATTCAAAGTGGATAAGAAGAAACCTCAGCACCCATCCATTCTTATTCATTTATTCAATAAAAATTTATCCAGCTCCCCCTTTGTGTCTCACATTATACTCAGTGTGTTTCCTGTTGTGATTTCCAACCAGTACAAACTGAAAACCTATAGCATTGTCCCTCTCCTGCCTACAGATACCACTTCTTGCTGGGAAGAAGAAACAAAAGAACATTCAACAGGAAATATTTCCATAGCCTACAAGGACACTCTTATTTATATTAAATTCCTCCCCTTTGGAAAAGGTTGTCATATGATAGTACCTTAGGGCAAAAAATTCCGTGGTTACTTATATTAACACAATAACCCCAGGTAAGTCTAACTGATATTTGAATTATTGTTACAATCACAAACAGAAATGAGGACTCTATCGTATAAAACGTGAAAATACTATCTAACCAGATGGGGGTTTTGGAAAGAATAGTAGATGTTTAAAAACATAGTAAATGTTTGAGAAAAAATGTTTAGATTGTGCTGAATAAAATTTAAAGGAACTATATACAGCTAAAAAAAAAAAAATTCTAAATTCTAAACAAGAGATCCCACTCTAACTTTAAATGAAACACGGATCTGGGGCCCTGGGTGAAAAAGTCAGTTAAGCATCGGACTCTTGGGTTTCAGCTCAGGTCGTGATCTCAGGGTCATGAGTTCAAGCCCCGTGACAAACCCTGTGCTTAGATGAGTCAGCTTGAGGCTCGCTCTCTCTCTCTTTCTGCCCCGCCATCATCTGTCACACGTGTGTGCACACATGGTCTCT